TATTCAAAAAGTAAGTGCTTCAAACATCGAACGTACTTTTACAACAGATCCAATTCTCAAAAAAATCGGAACCCTACATATTAAATCTTGGCTATCCAAAATTTGGCATCCTAAATTAACTGAAAACCTATTAATCACTAACACTCACAAAACACAAAACTATACTATCATCACAAAAATGTCACACTTTATTGCAAAAGCACCATAATATAAGTAATAATGATATATATAGAATTTAATTATTGATTAGAAATCGATTATGGTGATTCGATCATTGATTGAGGTTTTTAGAATTGATTCTTATCCCTAATAACAACTGAATCCATTATGACAATCGACTCATTATAACTATTATACCCATTACAGCAGAGTTGGAAAGTTGTAACTTTTTCTCTCGAAATTGTAACTTTTGCAGAATCTATTACAGCAAGCAACCTTAATGAGATTAATTAATTTTTTGAATACTAATACTAGTCTTCACTATGTAATAAATTTAATAATTTTGTCAATCTATGCATAAAAATCTGCACTACATACATACTAGTTTTTACGTATTATATATCTGATATAAATTTGATTAATATTGATAAATAGTAATAGTAAGTATATAACTTGTACTATGAAGTACAGTATAATCTGAATGCAATATAAAACCCTTAAATTTTAGTACATACGTATAGTTTCTACAAAAATTCTTAAAAAGATTATATTGATCTTCTTAATAATGAAAAAGATTTTAATGTAATCATTAATATTAGAAGATCTCTAGATGTTTAAGACATTTAAAGTATATTTTGCAATTCTAAGATATTAATTTTTATATTTTTGCAATGAACTTAGAAAAATTAGCAAAGATAAAATAATATTAAAATGATTAATTTATATCATATTTCTATTTAACAATTTTATTAATTTTCGATATATTAGATATCTATAGAGATTAAAAAATCTTGATATATCATTTATTTTTAATCTCATAATTATTTCTTCTTAAAAAATTTGCCAAATATCTTAAAGCTCATTTATTTGAAACAAAATCTTATTCTAATTAGAAGTGCATTATATTTTAATCAGAAACTAAAAATCTTTGAATTTTATTTATTAGCCAATAGTATTTTTTTATAAATTTAATTTTTAATTGATCATCTGATAATCAAATATTACATTTTACATGAATATTATATTTTACATGTTATTGTTTAGATTTTTGTTTTTTTTTTATCATGAATACCAATGAGTAAAGGAACTAGAAAATCTTCAGTTCGTACTAAAAGATCATTAGTTGTTTTAAATAACCAACAAACTAATATTAGTAGTAAGTATTACTAATAGAGTTAGATTTAAAAAGCTTTTATGAAAAAAATATTTTAGAAGTATTATAATCTTAATTTGTATTCATTTAAAATTTTTTAATATGATATAAATATTCTAAATATATTACTATATTAGAAATTGAAAATGAAATTTTACCTTTAGAAGAAGAGAAATTTTCAAATATATATTCTTTGAATACTACAAAAAAAGCCAAATCAGACGATAGTGGTAAGTTTAATTTTTAAAATATAATTACTACAAAAAAGTCAACAACTAATTTTATTTGTTAATTTATTAGATATTAGAACTATTTTGAAAGATATTGTATTAATGCAAATTGACATAGGAAAAAATCTCAAAACAATTGTAAATTTTCAATGAGTATTTGAAGCAAAATTAAATACTATAAAATTGGATCAATGTGCATTAGATGATAAATTTACACAATTAGAATTAGTTTTGAATAAAGATTAGTAGGTAGTAAGAATTATTTAAATAAACAAATTATTTTCTTTAGTTTAAATATTAGAAAATATTAAATTATAATTAAATTTTAATATAATTTTATCAACCAATTCACGAAGCTATGAAAAGTTTAATTAAAAAAACAAAGTATCCAAATGATCAACAAATGAAAGATGCTACAAAATCTGCACTTGATGAAAGCCAACCCAATAAAATGCACCAATATTCAACTGATAAACACTTTACTCATCTTTGAATTGATATTCAATCAAAGATATTATATTATATTAATTTGTTTTATAGTAATTAAAAGATATAAAATTATTAATTATTAATAATTTAAAGGCTAATTATTATGCTAGAATAACTCATGCTTACTATGCATCTAGTATGAAGGATGCTATGTAGAAAGTTTTTGAAGACAAAATCACAAAAATTGATAGTAATACTAAAACTAGTGAAATTTATGATTTTAAAAACCATTCAAATACAAAATAGTGTCTTAGTAGTCTTGATGATTTGGTTCCAAATGATAAATTATCTTATCT